GACAATCACGGCATGATTCCATGCCAGTGAGAATGAGATCAACTTTCTCTCTAAACGACTTTATCTCCTAGAAGCAGAACGTTCCACAGTCGTGAAGAGAGCCTGGGGGTTGGGGAGCCAGGGCAGGAACTGGGAAATGGATACAATGTTACACTCAGATGACAGGAATAAATTCAGCTGTTCTACTCCACAACAGGATGTCTAGAGTTAACTGTATCCTATATTATTTTCCAAAAAGGCTAAAAAGAAGGATTCTGAATATTGCAACCACAGAGAACTAATAAATAATAACTACACAAGGTAACAGAGACAGTCAATGCCTTGCTTTCATCATTACACAAGGTACATATGCATGGATTAAACTGTCCCACTCTACTCTTTAATTGTATACCTTTACTAGAGAGCAAATTGGTTTTAAGGACATAGAAATAAACAATGCTGAAGTTCATGTGAGACCAGGAAATGCCCTGCATTTCCAAAGATATTAGGAGAAATCCAAACTACATTGGATGCATCACACTCCCTGATGTGAAATTGCACTCAAACTCTAGGGACCTGCTTCCACATGGATGAGTGGAAGAAAACAGAGAACCTGTAAACCCACACACCTCATACCACCTGATGCTGGATGAAATACACAATGATGAGTAATGGGGAAAGAACTCCCTTTTCAATAGTCTTGGGATAAGTGGCGAGCCATATGCAGAAGAGTAAGAAACACTAGGCCTCTACTTCTCACCATGTACCAAAGTGCACTCAGATGAATGAAAGATGTAAATGGAAGACCTCAAAGTACAAAAATCCTACAAGAGACCCTAGGAAATACCCTTCTCGACATCAGCTTTGACAAAGCATTTATATGCCTAAGACCCCACATGACACTGCAACAACAGCAATAATCGACATGTGGGACATAATACACTAAAGAGCACCACACAACACAGGAAATTACCCACAGAGTAGACAGACGATATACAGGATGAGTGAAAATGTTCCCAAACTATGCACCTGAGCAAGTTCTAATATCCAGAATCTACCTTAAAGACCTTACACAAATCAATTAGCAAAACCACCCTAATAATTAATAGGCAATGGATATAAACACAGACTTCTCAAAAGATGATGATGAGCAACCCACAAATTGAAAGTATGCTCAACCTAATTGTCAGAGAAATATAAATCAAAAGCACAATGAGATATATCTCAAGCTGGTCAGAATGGGGATTACACAGTTTAAAAAAAAAAGGACACTGGCGAGGCAGCAGAGAAAGGGGACACTGGTCCACTTTTGGTGAAAATGCAAAGTAGTTCAGACACCATGGAAAGCACTTCAGAGACTGCTGAAAGAACTTGAACTAGAACTACCATCTGACCCAGCAATCCCACCACTGGGGTATACACAGAGGAAAATAAATCCTTCTCTCCAAAACACACATGCACACAAATGGTCATGGCAGCAGTATTTATAATGGCAAACACGTGAAATCATCCGAGGTACCTGTCAACAGTGGATCAGAAAAGGAAAATGTGTTGCATATATACCACAAAAAACTAGGCAGGAATTAAAAGAAAAAAGAAGGAAATCATGTCCTTGGCAGCAACATGAAAGGAGCTGGAAGTCATTATCTAAAGAGAAATAAGGGAAAAACAGAACACCAAATACCACATGTTCTCACTTACAAGGTGGAACTAACATTGAATACACCCTACCGTAAAAGTGAAACAACAGACACTGGTGACTATCAGATGAAAAACAAAGAAAGGATGAAGTATGTGCTGAAGACCTACCTGGTGGGTCCACCCACTGCCTGCAAGATAAGGTTGCTTAGACCCCAAGTCTCAGTGTCATGCAATATACCAAAGGCAGTAACTAATCTGCGTTTGTACCCTTTAGACTATAATAAACATAGAAATTATGTTAAAAAATACAAACTTAGAAGCTAAAAGCATGAATGAAAAACACAAACTTTTATAATTATCCAAACAATCTTTTATTGGCATAAACTAAGAAAATGGAAAGAATGAGGAAACCAAATACTCAACGCCAATTTACATATAGTGAACACGGTTTTCAAAAGAACACCAAAAAGATGCAATGGGAAAAAAAGAGCCTGTTCAATAGATGATTTTGAGCAAACTGAATATTCACATACAAAACACTGAAATAGGACCCTTATGTCACGCAACACAAAAATCAATGCAAAATACATTAAAGACCTAAAACTCAATTCTGAAACCACAAAACTCCTACAAGAAAACATAGGGTGTGCATTATTTTAGAAAAGAAATCCATACATGTAGTCTGCTAAAGGTATTTAAAAAACGTTAAAACAAAGGAAACACTCCAAGAAAACACCCATAGACAATGTAATGGCTTGCTGTTTTCACTGAAAAGCTGGGGACCCGGTTCCACAGAACAGTGGAACACATTAGAAGACCCAGATATAAACCTGCACACTAGAAGCCTTCTGATATTTGAAAAAAAATCAATAACAATAAGCAATGGAGAAAGGACTCCCTATCAGTAAGTGATGCTGGGATAAGTGGTTAGCTAGATGTAGAAGAAATAACACTGGGCCCCTATGTGTCACCATGTACGTAAACCAACTCAAAATGAATCAAAGATTGAAATGGAAAACCCTGGGCTGGGCGCGGTGGCTCATTCCTGGAATCCAAGCACTCTGGGAGGCCGAAGCAGGCAGATGACTTGAGGTCCTGGAGTTCGAGACCACCCTGGCTGACATGATGAAGCCCCATCTCTAATGAAAAAACAAAAGTTAGCTGGGCATGGTGGCACGTGCCTGTACTCATAGCTACTCAAGAGAATGAGGCAGAAGAATCACTTGAACCCAGAAGCTGGAGGGTGCAGTGAGCCGAGATTGCTCCATTGCATTCCAGCCTGTATGAGACAGCCAGACTTGGTCTGTAAATAAATACATAAATACATAAAAATCCAATACCTGAAACTAAAAAAAAAAAAAAAAAAATCCTGCATGAGAATCTAGCAAATACCCTTCTTGACAGAGGTTTTGGCAAAGCATTTATATATCAAGTCCCCAAAAGCAATGGCAACAAAAACAATTACTGATAAGTGGGACGTAATACACAAAAGAGCTGCTGCACAGAACAAGAAACAACCACAGAGTCAGCACACAGCCTGTAGAATGAGGGAAAATACTCCCCAACTACGCATCTGAAAAACGTCTAATATCCAGGATTTACCGTAAAGACCTTAAACAAATAAAATCAGAAAAAAACCCAATTTATAAATGGGTAAGGGACATGAACACACACTTAAAAGAAGGTGTACCAGTAATCAATGAGCATGAAAACATGTTTGATCTCACTGATCATCAGAGAGATGCAAATCAGAAACATACTGAGATACCATCTCACACTGGTCAGAATGGCAATTATGACACGCAGTCCACAACAACAGAGGCTGGTGGGGCAGATGAGCAAGGAAATGCAGGTCCACTGTTGGGGGAAATGCAAACTAGTACAGATCCCCTGGGGAGCAGTGTGGACATTTCTCAAAGAACCTAAAAGAGAACTACCACTCAACGCTGCAATCCCACTCCGAAGGATCTACCCGAAGGAACATTCTTCCATGAAAAACACATATGCACACCAGGTTGCCAGGTCCCCACTGATGAGGCCTTTACTGAGGAGGCCACCACTAACCAGGCCCCTGCTGATCAGGTCCCAGCTGACTAGGTCCTGATGACCAGGTCATCTCTGACCACGGTCTACTGACAAGGTCCCTGAGCAGCAGTGCTCAAAGTCTCATTACAATGTCCCCCTCAGCTCACAGACCCTGCCTCCCTGCATGTGTGCCCAGAGGTCAGGCCCTGGGGTCTTTTTTGGGACACTGCCTTTCCTCCAAGACACAGGGAGAGACAGTCAGCCTCAGGCTCCAGGTGCCCAGCTCCACACTCACCCCAAAGGCCCTCTGGGCCTATCTCAAAAGAGACAGTGAGGCAGCCTGGCACTGCCTGGAGATGCCATCTACCCTATTCCTGAGTGTCAGAGTGTGAAGAATGGAGGGACATTTGGCAGAAGAGACACCCTGTGCTGCTGGGTCTCCCAGGCCCTTCCCACAGAGCCCCAATCTAAAGACACAGCACAGAGGCTACACGAAGACTAATCCACAACCTTTGAGGCTGAGTCAGGGACTACATGAGGACTGTCCCCAGACAGTCACAAGGCCCTTTGTTTGTTTCTTGGTACCTCAGTGGATGTAGCAGTGGTTTTTCTGTTGGGGACCAGTAAGCACATGCTGGGGAGGGCTCGCTTGTGCTTCCTCAGTGGCTCCACCTCTACTTCTAAGAAAAATCACTCATTCCAGGGCTGGGGCAGAAAAAATACAAGATTAGTTTAGAACATCTTGTGCCAGAAAGTAAAAAAGTGCTGATGGAGTAACAGGGACAAATCAAAAAGACATAAAATCAGCTTGAAATCTAATCTTGGGGAACTGGAGCACCAGAATCATGAGCTTTCCCTCCTCTCTTATTTATTGGTTTCATTTCTCCATGTAGAACAAAGAAGAGAACAAGAAAATAATCATCTGGCAACCATCGTAGTAATAATTGCTAAAACACAAGTCATCCATGAAAGGCTAAATCTAGTGGGTTCTGAGGAGTAACCAGATATTTACAGAGCCTCAAAGTAGCTCCATACAAAATACGGTTGAACTACAAAAAGAAAATTGTAACATTAGCATGGACAAACCTGGCAGGTACTCCTAAACTATCCTAAGTAATAAAAACTGTAAAATGCAAATAAGCCTTCTATGACCTTTACTAAAGTATCAATGATGACTTGGTTGTTTGGCTTAAACAGCTGACATTTGGGCAATTTGAGTACATCAAACTTAATAAAAATGGTTTTTGTTTGCAAGATCCACTTAAAACTTAAGGAGGCTAAAAAAAATATCATTTAAAATACCCTATAAATTATCATCATACATATGATACAAAAATATCCTACACTTCAGTAAATATTGTAATGTTAAATATTTTATGAGAAACAATTAAAATGTTCTGTAAATAGCCCAGTAATAAAGTTTTATAATCTTTTAAATCATACAATTTTTCCTTAAGATTTCATGGTTAAATATTCTCTTCATTAGATGTGGCTTACCGGTGGATTCTAGAGAAGAAAGTAGACGGGAGCAAGTGTCCAACACAGCAACAGCTGGAAAGAAAAAGAAAGAATTTTGTTCTTTACCTATAACACTTCAGTTAACTAAGTGTGAGTTTGAAAACTAAAGAGTTGAGAACTTTATCAGAGTTAATAAGAATGAGAAATATGTATGTACATTTACAATACAAAATTACTATTAAATAATTTACACATGGCATTAATTCTAATTGTGTTTAAATATCAGAGCTTTTTCATTCTTCATTCATGTAATCAACAGCTACGTGCTAAGGTACTAGAACCAGCACAGGAATTATAAGATGAAGATGGTATGGTCCACCTCTCAACAGTCATATGCTATTAACCTAAAAAAACAGAAGGCAGGCAATGTCCACATACAGTCATAGATACCATGACAGGTATACAGCAGGGCACTACTGGAACACACAGAAGGAACATCTAGCCCACTTTTATGTCAATATCATGGACTTTCTGGTGGAGGAGATAACATAGGTTGATACCTGAAGGACAAAGAAAACCTTGCCAGATACAGGGAAGAGGTGAAGGCAAAGAGCCTGAGGTGAGGAAAAGCCCTACTGAGTTCCAGTTTGGTGCTAGAGCAAAGGGCAGAGTGTGGTAAGTGGTGAGAGACAAGGCTGAGTAACTTGACAAGAATCACATTGACATAGGTATTTCTATTTCATGGTGAAAAATTTGGAACTTTTCCTGAGAACAGACGTAAGCCAATGACACAGTAAATGACGGGAGATTTAAAATGTCACCTGTCAAGTGACTGCTTATGAAGGGTTGTTGCTCAGCTAAGGATTTTGAAATGAGTCTGAGGTCTGTTGGCCTTCAATCTCTATCAAAATCCTGAGAACTTGATGATGCGTTTGTTTTCTGAGAATTGTTTCAGTGTGCAGGCTGACAGTTCCATGAGGACGGCAAGAGTGAAGAAATTGTAAAGCCAGTGAAAAAGAGATGCATAGACTTCTTGGGAATTTTTTAAGCTATGGAACATGATAAATTTATGGTGCATAAGTACAGTCTTCTCTGTGAAAGTTTTTGTTTTCATATCTTTCATTAGATGTGTCTAACACACACACAAAAAAAACTTGACATAGTATCTACTAACGCAACAATGAAAAATAATGCCATTTGCTATTTACATTTTATTTCTAAAATAGACCTAAATTTAATTAATAAATTTTGGAAACATACTTCTCTTTGTTTCTCTAATTATTTGTTCTAACAGTCCAGCTCCATCTAAAATAAGCAAAAATAATAATAATGTTTAAGTTAAACAAGAAACATTACTATGAAAATAATATGTCACTTACAAAATGTGGCCTTCGGTACTTTTAGTGAGTAGACATAACTGAAAGTTTGCTTAAATAGAAAAATAATCACATAAATAAAGTAAAATTTCTACTTAAGTTTAGATAACAGAGGACGTATCTGTGTAATGCTGTTTAGAGTAATCTGACAAAAATACAGTTAATATTGGTCTACTGAATATACATGATTTTAGAAAGGTAGTGTTTTATTAGTACAAAGGTTAAACGATGGCCGGGCGTGGTGGCTCATGCCTGTAATCCCAGCACTTGGGGAGGCCAAGGCAGGCAGATCACGAGATTAGGAGAGTGAGACCAACCTGGCCAACATGGGGAACCCCCAGCTCTACTAAAAATACAAAAATTAGCTGGGTGTGGTGACGTGTACCTGTCCCCGCTACTTGGAAGGCTAAGGCAGGAGCATTGCTTGAAGCCAGGAGGTGGAGATTTCAGTGAGCCAAGATTGCACCACTATACTCCAGCCTGGCGACAGAGTGAGACCCTGTCTCAAAAAAAATCAAAAAATTAAATAAAGTCATCTTTTGCAAAGAATGTATTGCTTTGAAATTCTTAGCAAAACTCTGCCCTTTATAAAGTTTAATCCATGTTTTACTTCAATAAATTTTATCTTAAAAAGAAATTTCTATTCTCTACTCATAGCAAACTTTTCTATAGTAAATTTTTCTTTTTTTCTTTCTAGTTTGTAGTCTAAATTAAGGTGGTACCTGTGTAGGTTTCTTTCAAAGGTATATTGAGGGATGCCAAATTTTGGAGTACAATTGAATCCATCACATAGGTAGTGAGCATAGGACCCAATAAGTAGTTTTTCACACCTGGCCCACTCTGTCCCTCCCTGTTCTTATTTCCCAGTGTCTAATATTCCCATGTTTATGACAACGTGCACCCGATGTGTAGCTCCCACATGAGTGAAAACATGAGATATCTGGTTTCTGTTTCTCTGCTAGTTTGCTTAGGATAGTGGATTCAAGCTGTATCCACATTGCTGCAAAGGACATGATTTTGTTCTTTGTATGGCTGCAGAGTATTCCATGGTATATATGGAATTTTCCAATCTACCTTGAATTTTCAATCTACCTTGGAGGCACCTGGACTGATTCCATGTCTTTGCTATTGTGCACAGTGCTGCAATGAACATACATGTGCATGCATCTTTTTGTTACAATGATTTATTGTCCTTTCGGTATACCCCTAGTATAGGAATGGGGTTGTTGCATCCAACGGTCATTCTTAGTTCTTAATTTCCAAACTGCTCTCCATAGTAGCTAAACTAATTTATATTGCCCCAAACAGTGTGTGTTCCCTTTTCTCCACAGCCTCCCCAACATCTTTTTTTTTTTTTTTTTTTTTTTGTACTTTTAAACAAAAGTCGTTCTGGTGTGAAATGGTATCTCACTGATGTTTTGTTTGGCATTTTTCTGATGATTAGCAATGGTAAGCATTTGTTAGAATGTTTGTCGGCCACTTACATGTGTTATTTTGGGAAGTGTCTGTTCATGTTCTTTGCCCATTTTTATTTTTACTGGTGTTATTTATTTTTTGCTTGTTGATTTGTTTAGGTCTCTTATGGACTCTGGATAATAGGCGTTTGCTGTATCTATAGTTTGTGAATATTTTCTTCCATTCTTTAGGCTGTCTGTTTAATCCCGTGATAGTTTTTCATGCTGTGCAGAAGCTCTTTAGCTTAATTAGGTCATACTTGTCAATTTTTGTTATTCTTACAATTACTTTCGAGGACTTAGCCATAAATTAATTGACAAGTATGATGTCCAGAAGAGTATTTCCGTTTTCTTCCAGGATTTTTATAGTCAGAGAACGTACTCTTAAGTAAGAAAAGCACAAACCTTTTTTTTTCTTTGAGATGGAGTCTCCATCACCCAGGCTATAGTGTAGTGGTATGATCTTGGTTCACTGCAACCTCTGTCTCCTGGGTTCAAGTGATTCTCTTGCCTCAGCTTCCCGAATATCTGAGATTACACATGCCTGCCAATACGCCTTGCTAGTTTTTGTATTTTTAGTAGAGACAGGCTTCATCATGTTGGCCAGGCTGGTCTCAAACTCCTGACCTCAAGTGATCTGCCTGCCTCGGCCTCCCAAAATGTTGGGATTACAAGTGTGAGCCACCACGCCTGGCCAAGCACAAAGCTTTTAACATAAAAATGGAAATGAATATTTTAGTATTTTGTGTAACTTATAAAATGCAATTATTTTGAATTCTACTATATAATAAACATCCATATGTGGGGTAAAGTGTTTGGATGCCAATAATTCAGTTGTGATTATGGGTGGGAAGAGTTGAGATGGTGCAAATAAACTTTTTAAAAATTTTTTTATTTTCAAGATAAGAGTCTCGCTCTGTCACCCAGGCTGGAGTGCAGTGGTGTGATCTCGGCTCACTGCAACCTCCACCTCTCCAGTTCAAGCATTTCTCTGCCTCAGCCTTCCTCGTAGCTGGGATTACAGGTGCCCACCACCACACCCAGCTAATTTTTTTTTGTACTTTTAGTAGAGACGGAGTTTCACCATCTTGGCCAGGCTGGTCTGAACTCCTGACCTCATGACACACCTGCCTCGGCCTCCCAAAGTGCTGGGATTACAGGCATGAGCCACCGTGCCTGGCCGGTGCAAAGAAACTTTAAAAGTGACATGAGCCAGGCATGGTAGCTCATGCCTGTAATCCCAGCACTGTGGGAGGCTGAGGCAGGCAGATCACAAGGTCAGAAGTTTGAGAACAGCCTGCTCAAGATGGTGAAACCCTGTCTCTACTAAAAATACAAACATTAGCTGGGTGTAATGGCGGGCGCCTGTAGTCTCAGCTACGTGGGAGGCTGAGGCGGGAGAATTGCTTGAACCCGGGAGGTGGAGGTTGCAGTGAGCCAAGATGGCACCATACACTCCAGCCTGGGTGACAGAGTGAGACACTGCCTCAAAAAAAAAAAAAAAAAAAAATGAGGGGGTGTGAACCACCACTAAACTACAATCAGTTAGAAAGTAAGCCACAGCATCTCAAAGTATATCATCAGTTATCAGGCAATAACATGCTATTTCTAAAACCTAACTTAAATGCAGATTTTAAAGACATTTTAAACATGTCAGTTTAGTCACATTTATTGAATAAAGTTAGCAAACGGGTATTTCTTGAAAATGAGAGCTCCAGGGAATTAAAAAATGTAAAGTTCCCATTTCCTTTCTGTGTTAACACAGCTAATTATGATCTTTACTTAACATGCATAAATGAACAGAACAACTCAGTATTTCACCAAATTAAAAACAAGAATTATATTAGAGAAGTCAAACCCAAAAGAGAAACGGTCATATAACTAACCTCAGTCAAGTCGTTCTTGCAGTTATTTGAAGTCTGTGGATTTGAAGTAGGAATTCTTACGGGCATTTGGGGAATATATTTTCTGTTGAGTCCTATACTGGGAAGATTTTCAACACAAGGTGACTCTGGGTCTCGCCTTGTAGGAAGAGTGCTGAGAAAATATTTCACCCGCTCTTTCTCCATAAGGAGCTTGGTGTTGATCATTGCTATTTTCTTATTCAATCTGTAAAGATAGCAAAGACAAATGCTTAGTATTTCATTTTTCCTTAAATGACTCTTAATGACTTGCAGTTTTTAAAAACTTGCCCGGAGAGTAAACCAAATTACCCACTAAACAGTGTTTTCACATCGCAGATGTGTGAGAGCATATCTGTTGTCAGGAATTATAATTTTAAAATAATTCTAAAGGAGCACCTGTGTTTCTAAGGTGATTTATACTGAACAAGCAGTTCAAACAAAGTAGACAAGGAAGAGATAATGGTTGTCAGTGATGTATGGCTCAAAAGGCAATACTTGCTGCCTTCTAAAATGGCTCTACTTGTAAGATTCTGAAGTTCCATTAGAAATACTTGTATTTAAAGGGTAACAACGTGGGAAAATGAATATATTATTTGCTTGATTATAAGAACCACTTCACTAGAAATAATTATATCAAAACATCATGTTGTACTCCTTAATGCAGGTTAAGAAAACTAAAATGAACAAAAAATATCTAGGAATACTTGTGTTGAGTAAACCAGTTTTAGGCTTCACCCTTGTACATTTCACCCATTATCTAGGAACAATTAAACGTTCGGCACTGAGGAATAATTTAGAGAAACAACTCCTAGGGGAGAACTAGATTGGCTGGTGATCAAAAAGAACTGAAGCATCTCTGAAGGCAATTAGCCCCCAGCACTGTGACCAAGGCACTGGAGGTGGGGCTTGTTCTCTCTGCCTTCCACACACTCCTTCAGGCTGAACAAGGTGTTATTTTTTTAACTACTTTGTGAATTACACTTCTTTAAATTCCTGTGATAATTATTCACTATTTCACAAGGATGCCTTTCTGTAACATCTTGAAAATGTTACACAAATAGTCTTTCTTGAGGCACCCTTTAGTGATAATACTAAAGATCACAATCAAAAACAATTGTGCCCAGAGCAGCAGTACCACTTGACACTTTGGGTTTAGGTTGTGATCTACCAAAAATTACATTAAAATCATTAATATTTCTATTTAGGGAAATTCTGACAAGTAATCTTATAACAAGATCACTTTATTAATTATAAAACTTCAAAAATACTTAGTGAAAAAAATTAACAGATCAGGTTAACTACATGAGACTTTTTAGGAGAAAAAAGCCATACAAAAGCAAAAAAACAAAAAAAGTGAAAGGAAAGACAGAAACTATCCTTGACTAACATTTTAAAGGTAAGATTATTTATTAACATTATTTTCCAAAATTACATGATCCAATTAGCGTTCACTTCCTACTAATATCCTCAAGCCATCTCACTAAAAATTATGCTTTCAAAACAAATTAATGAGCTTAATTCATTCCCTATGAGTGTATGTTTTGACTTACTTTGTTAATTTTTTTGACATGGAATTGTTAGCTTTCAATGCTATTGCAAAAGCTTCCTTATATTCTTCTAATTCAGTTGTAACCTCTTTATAAGCAGTCTTCATTTTGGAGAATTTACATTCCGCATCTTTAAGTTTGAGTTTCTTCTTACTTAGTGAAGTCATATTATCCTTATTTAACTGTTCTAATTGTTTTTCATACAGTGCTTGTTCCTAAAACAAATGAAAAGAATACACTTGTAAAACAATTATAACCTAATTATTATATGTTTGTTGCCTTTCACTTTGAGTCAGTGATTCAAAGAGCAATTTTGAACATGTTAAAAAAAGAGGCTGAAGCTTAAAATGTTTATCAGCAATATTAAAATTAATAACTGAATTCATAATTAAGTCTGATTTATAAAAATTTGAAATCATAATTATGTTAGTATTAATGTAATCTGGTCATATAAAAATAGAATCCATTCATAATTTTAAAAAGTGATCAATGAGCAATGTAGCTAAGACCAATTCAAAAGTATCACATGATTTCTAAATCACAAGTTTTTCTTATGCCAACTGGTCTTAATCATCAAATGACTCCATAGTGAGAACCAAGAGTTTGAGGCTGCAGTGAACTATGATCAAACCACTGTCTCCAGCCCGGGTGACTACAGTTGCCCAGAGCCCAGACTACACTAGCAAGATCCTGTCTCTTAACAACAACAAAAAAGCTCAAAGAACTAGGGGAAAGTAGTTTGGTTAATGGATATAGAATTACAGTTAGATAAGAGGAATGAGTTCTGGTATTCTGCGGCATTGTAGAGTGAATATGGTTAACTATGATTTATTGTGTATTTTTAAAAAGCCAGAAGATTTTGAATGTTCATGATTCAAAGAAATGAAAAACAGTTGAAGTAGTAAATGTGCTAGTCAGCTTGATCATTACATCCTATATACGTGTATCAAAATATCACTAACCCATAATTATGGATATATGTGTCAAAAGAAAAGCTATATTCATCCCATTTAAAAAAACTGAATATAGGCCAACCTTACTGACTTCCTCCTAATGAATAGAATGCAGTAAAAGGGATACCATGTGGCTTCTCTATCCCAGACTGCTTTCCCTTACAACCCAGCCCCCAGATTGTCAGCACACGCAGGCCACTAAGAGAACCTGGCAGTGCCAGTGTCAGTGTTCATGCTGCCTGCTCAAACGAATGTTCCAGCCAATGGCCAGCATCAACCATCAAACACATGGGTGAACAAAGGCTTCAGATGATTCCATTTCCCCAACTGATCAGCTGTTCCTAGGGAAGCTGAGAGGAGCAGAGACAAGCTGTCCTGGCCAAACTTTTTCCAAACCACAGGTTCATTAACAAAAAAAATATATTTTTCTTTTAAGCCACAAAACTCTGGGTAATTGTTAGAAAAATAAGTTTCAAAAAGAGACAACAGGAAACACAACATGCAACAGAAAAGAGTCTCCTTTAAAGTAGGATCTAATAAATGTTGAGGTTAATTTATTGATGGCAAACATTACTGAGAAGCAGCAGATAACCAGGAGAGAGACATAAGCTGCTTAGGAGGAACTTTTCCTAAAACCCCTTCAATTATGAACTCTAATAACAAGGCAAGGGTTCCCCTCAAGTTAGGAAATAAGACTGGGAAGCAAGAAGACATATGATTTGAAAAACAACTAGAAATACTTGGTTACATAATCAAAATCAGACATTGACCTAATTTCAATTAACTAAAATTCTAAAAGGTAAGCTTTGAGTGTTTATTAATCAATCTAGTATTTAATTTTTATTTTCCTTTTCTCAATAAGGAAATAAGGAGAACATTATGGAATGATTTTCTGTCCTCGCAGAAGTAAAACAAACAATGTGCTTTGAGTGTTAAGAAATCAAACGCAATCTCTCCTTTACCTTACTCCAAGCTTGTTTGTATGGAGACGTTAAGACTATCCCATCTCTGTGTTATACCACAAGGCTTCTCTATAGAACACAACCTGGCTCTGAAATTTTGAAAGCCAAAATACTAATCTACTATGTGTCTCTGATAAATTGCCTGAACATTACCTGATTTTTAAGTGCTGCACTCCTTTTTCTTGGAATGAGTTAAACTTCATATTCCAAGAATCCTCTACTGAACTAGAAAGCAGACCTGTGCATCTCTGTTTCAGTGAAAGGAGCTCAACACAGGGAACTGTAGTTTCTGAGAATGCAAGATCTGCACCAAGAAAAGGATTAGCCACACAGTGCTACACAAGAGAACCAGCTACCAGGTGGAAAGAGGATCTGCGAACTGAAAGATGATGACTTCACTTGATTTCCATTGAGGAAAGCTGGCGGCTCAGACTTAAACTTCTGCTTCCTGGATGGTAAACATCTATGGAAGATTCTATGAATTATAATGAGTTAGCAAAACATAATGCACTAAATATTAGACTATGTCAGCAGATCCTGTGACCAAAACTTAATGAAAATAAAACGACAGCAGGAGGCAATGGAAAAGACACTACAGGTTTGAAAGGAGAAAAAAAGAAATAAAGGATTTCTTGTAGGCCTGGCTTCCCATCACATCTTAGAGTAAGTAAGGTATAAGCTGGCCAGAGACTCCTCTGAGACACAAACGGTGAAGTTAAAGATATCCCACTAAATTTAATTTTTATTATGACATAAGACAACTGGTAATATGCAAACATGATTTAAAAAACTTCTCAGTAAATTCAATTTGACCTTGGCATAAGAATAGACATAAACGGCCGGGCGCGGTGGCTCAAGCCTGTAATCCCAGCACTTTGGGAGGCCGAGAGGGGCGAATCACGAGGTCAGGAGATCCAGATCATCCTGGCTAACATGGTGAAACTCCGTCTCTACTAAAAAATACAAAAAACTAGCCAGGCGAGGTGGCGGGCGCCTGTAGTCCCAGCTACTCGGGAGGCTGAGGCAGGAGAATGGCGTGAACCCGGGAGGCGGAGCTTGCAGTGAGCTGAGATCCGGCCACTGCACTCCAGCCTGGACGAAAGAGCCAGACCCCGCCTCAAAAAAAAAAAAAAAAAAAGAATAGACATAAACAAACTAAGAGTTGATGATCTAAAAATAACCTGCACATTTACAGTCAATTGATTTTATATAAGGTTAACAAAATAACAAAATGGGAAAAGAATAGCCTTTTCAACAAATGGTGCTGGAACAACTGGGTATCCATATGCAAAAAAATAAATAAATTTGGACAAAATATCTTGTTTAAAAATTAACTCAAAATAAAACAGTTAACTGTAACAGCGAAAACTATAAAACCCTCAGAAGAAAACACTGGCATAAATCTTTGTGACTGTATCTGGTAGTGTTTTCTTAGCTATGACTCCAAAGGAAAAATGGATTCAATGAACTTCAAAATTGAAAACTGCTGTGCCTGAGAAGACAGTATCAAGAATTGAAAAGGCAAGACACTAAGTAAAAGAAAGTATTTGAAAAGCATGTATCTGATAAGTGACTTATGTATATAGGACATGTAAAGAACCTTTGCAATTCATAAGTAACAAGATAATTCAATTTTTAAAATGGGTAAAGACTTTGAATAGACACATCTGCAAAGAAGATACAAAGATGGATAATGAGTACATTAATAGATGCTTGATGTAATCAGTCTTTAGGAAAATGTAAATCAAAACCACATGTGGCAGCACTTCACACCACAGGACAAAAATCTTTGTTCAATAAAAAAGAGAAAGTGTTAGGAAAAATGTAAAGACATTAAAACCCTTATCCAATGCTGCTGGGAATGTAAAGTGGCACAGCCACTTTGGAAACCAAACTGGTAGCTCCTCAAAAAGTTAAGCATGAAGTCACCATGTGACCAAGAAATTCCAGTCATAAGTATATGCTCCAGGAAAATAAAAACATATGCAAGCACAAAAATTCATATGTAAATGTTTACAGCAGCATTATTCACAGGAGTCAAAAGTGGAAAGAACCAAAACGTCCATCACCTTTGGGTGGGAAAGAACTCAAAGGTCCATCACCTGGTGAATGGATAAATAAAATGTTTGATGTATCCATACAATGGAATATCACTCAGCAATAAGAAGAAATTAAGTACTGATACTGATATGGAGGAGGAGACAGCAAAATGTCTAGGCAGATACAGAACAGTCGCCAGAGAATCTCCAACCAGCCCTTAAGTGTTTACACCAGATGTTATCTGCAGATAAAAGGAAACTGGACTTGTCTTGCCTAGACATGCCGGCAGCGGACTGGAGGCCCACATGCATTGGGGGGGTGGGGTGTAGCCACCAGGAATTCACGTCTTATGCAGGGGAGGAGCCTGGCCACTTCAGCTCATGTGCTCCTGGTATTCAATTGTGAGGTTGAAACCTGTTGGCAGGACCCCTCTCTTTGCTGAGAGCTTTCCTTTCACATAATAAATTCTGTCCTCCTCACCCTTCAGTGTGTCTGCATGCTTAATTTTTCCTGGTCACGAGAGAAGAACCCAGATTTAGCTGAACTAAGGAGAAAAACCCCACATCAATACCTGCTACAACACAGATGCAGCATGAAAAATTATGCTAAGTGAAATAAGCCAGTCACTGTAGACCACTTGCTTTTTATTTCAGAGGCTTATAGGCAAATCTATACAAAGAAGGTGGGTGGTTCCCTAGGGCTGAGGGAGGAAGGGAAAACTAGTGAAGATGGCTAAATGATGTGGGGTTTGTTTTTAGGGTGATGAAAATGTTCTAAAATTGATTGTAATGATGACTGCATAACTGTCTGAAAATACTAAAGTCAATGACTTGCATATTTTAAATGAGTAAATTGCATGGTGTGTTCAAGATTTCTCAATAAACCTGTTACGCACCACCCCCCTCCCACACAAATTAATTTGGTACTAGTGATCTGGAGACAGGTACTGCTTCATTTCAGATCACTTGCCAGAATTCAAGACATAAGAGAATCAACAGCATGTCCTTTTTATAGAAAAAAAAATTCGTATTTTAAAAACTATCCTTTTTATTAGTATCAAGTCTGTAAAATTAAATGAAAAATCTTTCACTGCTTAAAGCACTGAGAGATTTATATTGAGGAATAAGACCTTGTTTCCTTTGGCCCCAATTTCTATCTAAAGGGTCTAGGAATCACATGCTTCAAACTATAAAATCTCAGCAGATGGGTTTTATTAACTCTTATAATGTGGCTTACTTTCTAACCTGATTCTGGTACAGCATCACAGAGAGAAGCTGCTGAAGGAAATCAAAATATTTAACCCCAAATATATTTTTTTTTACATATTTTGAAATGGCTGCTGCAGGGCCAAGAGATTGAAATGGCCCTCATTAATGTAACCCAGTCTCTCTCC